AAAAAAAAAAAAGGTAGATTTTCTATTTGCTTTAGACAATGAAGATTTAATTAATAATATTAATTGGTTTCTCCTCGCTGTCATCTATCTCTCCTTTAAATATAACACAGTGTTTTCCTGGCTATTGAGCTCTATGTTTAAAATGTATTTTGATTAATTCTTCTGTGTACTATCTAATACACTATATTAAATTGTTTAATGTTACCATCATTGTCTAATGTTAAACAGCATATGCTTGTCCAATACCCTTTCCATTGGTATTTCAGAACAAATATTAGTAATATTTTAATTATACTCCTCCCGTTCCACTTACTGGTGGTTCTATCTTTGCACTTTCCACAGGGTGAGTATTCTGTACTTTTGTCTTGTCTATATCTATGGGCACAGCTTCAAGAGCAGTAAGGAGAAATGTAACCAAGAGAAAACAGTATTGTAGTAGGATGGTCCGCCACCTCATCTGAAATGAAGGAATAATTAAAGTCCAGAAAAGATGTTTTAAAACTGTATGCATGCATTCCCAATGTCACATTAATAACATATCATCTCAAGAGGATTAATACCTAAAAAAAAAAACAAAACAACTCTAGGAAATGGGGAAAAAGAAATTAAAACTCACCCAAAAAGCGTTTAAAATATATCACTAAAAAAGTCAGAGGAGAAATGTATCTTAGCCAAAATTTAAAACATAGGAAACAAAGTTTTAAAATTTAAACTGCTTATATGTAAGAAAACATGTGGTTAATTATAAAAGCTTTTTTTTTAATTTCAGGTTAATGTGAGGGTACAAACAACTAGGTTATAATATTTGCATTTGTTAGGTAGAATCCCTTTTGTAATTGTGTCTCACACCCAAAAGGTGTGCCATATGCCCTTACATTGTGCCCATTAAGTGGGAGCACACCAATCCTCTTCCCTCCTCCCTTCTCCCTCCAACTTGAATTGAGTTTTTCTCTTATGTAAGTATGTATTAGATTGTCTACTAGCTTCTTATTAGTACTGAGTACATTGGCTACTTGCTTTTCCACTCTTGGGATACTTTACTAAGAATGTGTTTTCAATTCCATCCAGGTTAACACAAAAGATGTGAAGTCTCCATCTTTTTTATGGCTGAATAGTGTTCCATGGTATACATATACCACTGTTTGTTATCCATTCCTGAGTTGATGGGTATTTAAGGTTGTTTCCACATCTTGGCAATTGTAAATTGAGCTGCAATAAACAATCTAATGCAAATGTCTTTATAACATACAAAAGTTTTAATAATAATGGTAATGATGAGGGGCCCAATTTTTAATAAATAAAAAGTCTACTATTAGGAAATGAGGAGGAAAAACTACGTATTTTTTCTCAATTAAAATATAAGGAAATCAAAATTATTTCCACATTTATCTAGTTTAGCTTTGACTTAATTTTGAAAATAAATTATGAATAGTTGATTGAGAGACAAATAACTAACTATAAATATTCTCTTAACTGTGTTAAATTATTTTATCATAGCCAATAGTCATTTACTAAAGATCTTTTGTCATATAAATAGGTCAATAAAATATTGAGTAGAATGTAGTGGTATTGAAACAAAATTAGAGGTACTGATGGTCACACAATATTGCTTCAGGCTGTTTTGAATAATAATGTACTGAACATTTGTGTTCAAGTTATTGGGTTTATGTGTTTTCAATTCTTTTGATTATATACCTATCAGTAGAATTGCTGGGTAAGTGTAATAATGCTAAAAGCTTATCTTTTTGAGGAACTTGCAAACTTTTCCCAAAGCAACTGAACCATTTTACATTCCCACCAGCAATATATGAAGTTTCTAATCTCTCCACATTCCCCTATGTGTTCTGGTCACTTCTGCTGCATTCCCACTCTTCTGCCACATCTACTATAAATAGGAAGGCAAGTCAAGAAAGGAATATGTTTGTTCACACAGTGTGTGTGTGTGTGTGTCTCATAACACCTTGCAGTGAAAAAGTCACTGAAAGTCTCCGGGAAGCTACTCTAAAGCACTGAATGTATGGTTCATAAGACTTAATTGATACTAGGCTTATTATAAATAACAACAGAAACCATCTATTGACTATTTACTATGTACTAAGCATAATGCTAAACACATTTTTTTTTTATAATTAACTCATTTAAGTCTTTTTTTTTTTTTGAGACAGAGCCTCAAGCTCTCCCCTAGGTAGAGTGCTGTGGCATCACAGCTCACAGCAACCTCCAACTCCTGGGCTCAAGCAAGTCACCTGCCTCCGCCTCCCAAGTAGCTGGGACCACAGGCACCTGCCACAACGCCTGGCTATTTTTTTTTTTTTTTTGGTTGCAGGCATCATTGTTGTTTGGTGGGCCCAGGCTGGATTTGAACCCGCCACTTTAGGTGTATATGGCTGGCTGGCGCCTTAGCCACTTGAGCCACAGGCGCCGAGCCAACTCATTTAAGTCTTACAGTGACCTTGTAAAATAAATATTACTATCCTCATTTTAAAATATGGGAAACTGAAACATACCAACTAAAAAGCTTGATTTAGGTTACACAGTAGTGAGTCATACAGCCAGGGTATAGACCTGGGAGTGACTGACTCCAAAGCCTATGTCTTCTTTTAAGCAGAGATTCTCAAAGTGTGATCCCCAGGCCAGTAGCATTGGCATCACCTGGGAATTTGTTAGAAATGAGTATTGTCAAGGCCTAGTCCATACCTTCAAAATCAGAGACTCCGGAGATAGGGACCACCATAATCTACATCGACCAAGCCCTATATGTGATTCTGATGCATGCTAAAGTTTGAAAACCACTGCCCCAGAACATATTTCTTCCCTTGCTCTATTCTTCACCAACCTCACTTACAATGAGAAAAAGAGATAATGTTTATCTCAAAAGTAAGTACGGATTCTTAAGGACTATGGGTTTTGTGCCTCAGAGTAAGGCAGACTAAATTTAGGCCTATATTCTAATTCGAGGTTTGTCAATAAACTTTTCCCACTTCAATTCTCTCCTTTACAAAAATAAAGGAATTTTTTTTAAATAATAGAATCTAACTTGACCCCAACATTCTCTAAGTACTTAAGTTCTATTATCTAACTATTCTTTTGAACATACATATTTTGTTGCCTACTCAGGGATACTAATAAAATTGCTTGTACTCACATCAAATGTTTAAAATTATTAAGTTGGCTCGGCGCCTATAGCTCAACCAGCTAAGGCGCCAGCCACGTACACCTAAGGTGGCGGGTTCGAATCCCCAGCCCGGACCCGCCAAACAACAATGACGGCTGCAACCAAAAAATAGCCAGGCGTTGTGGCGGGCGCCTGTGGTCCCAGCTACTTGGGAGGTGGAGGCAGGAAACTCGCTTGAGCCCAGGAGTTGGAGGTTGCTGTGAGCTGTAATGCCACGCCACTCTACCCAGGGGGACAGCTTGAGGCTCTGTCTCCAAAAAAAAATAAATAAATAAAATTATTAAGTTTATATGATTCATAAATGCCTTAAACCTAAATATTTCTTATTTAGCCAGCTTAAAATTACACTGGTAGAACAAGTAGCAGGTCTGGGGGCTGACATAAAGATTAACAGTAACAACAACAACAAAAAACTACCAAGCAAAATTCACATCCAAATACAATAAAAATAAGGTAAAATAAGCCTGACACACCCGCTTAGGCCGGTAACCCTCCCTATTTTGGGAGGGTGAGGCAGGTGGATTACTTGAGCTCAGGAATTTGACAGCAGCCTGAGCAAGAGTGAGACCCCATCTCTACTAAAAATAAAAAAACTATCCAGTCATTGTGGCTAGTGCCTATAGTCCCAGCTGCTCAGGAGGCTGAGGCAAGAGGATCACTTGAGCCCAAGAGTTTGAGGTTGCTGTGAGCTATGCCACGGCACTCTACCCAGGGGGACAGCCTGAGGCTCTGTCTCAAAAAAAAAAAGAAAAGAAAATATTTGATGTTAGAGGAATAACAGTAACTTTACTTTTGTTTTTTTTAAAGACACAGTCTTGCTCTGTCATCCAGGCTAGAGTGCAGTCTAGAGACATGATCATAGCTCACTGCAGCCTTGAACTCTGTGCTCAAGGGATCCTCCTGAGCCAGCCTTCCAAGTAGGTGGGACTATAGGCACTGCCACCACACCCAGCTGATTTTTCTTATTTTTTGTAGAGATGGTCTCTCTATGTTGCCTCGGCTGTCTCAAACTCCCAGCCTCAACCTATCCTCCTATGTTGGCCTTCTGAAGTGCTGTGCTGGGATTACAGTCTCGAGCTACCATGCCCAGCCTATCATTTCTTATGAAGGAACAACTAGGTGCTTTAACCTGACTTTAGGCAGGAAAATAACCAGCAAGTACACAAAGCTGTTACATTTTGTTACAGAGACCTATGAGGATTACCTACTAGCAGCCAAACAATGCCTCCAATAAATAAAAAATTTCAAAGAACGTGAGGCTGAACTGATGGACTTGTGCATAATTAAGGCAAAAGTCAATTTGTCAGAAACTTTCTACTATATACAATACAAATAACCATTTTAAAAAAGAAACTTCCTGCTGATACTAAACAGAAGCTGCATAAATTCCAGCCACATGTAATTTAAAGGATAAAATAAAGCTGAGTTTAGTCAGTAGGAAATGCTGACAAAATCCTGAGGTTCTTTTACATGCCTCAAAATAGTATGTTAATGTCATCAGTGCTAAAGAGACTGATATAAGAGAAAGGGCCAGAAAACAACATATTATAGTAACACCATCATAAATGCCTATGGCCAAAAAGTTGCTGCCTTATTAAATTTTAAACTACAAAATGATCTTCCAGAGATGCTAGTGTATACATTTAAAAAGGCAGCCAGAGTTGCTGAAGGAGATGGTGGATGGTTGAGCTAAAGCAATGGTTCTCAACCTGTGGTTCACGACCCACAGGAACTATATTAAAGGGCCACGGCATTAGAAAGCTTGAGAACCACTGAGCTATAGGAAGAGTAGGTAAATCTGGTTGAATGTTGAGGAGCCCTACATAACCTGCCAAGTGTGTGTGTTTACCTCCTGATGCATCCAAGAAGGTTATGTCAACAGGTGAAGAACTGGTTGCCCATAAAGTAAGATGATTTGGTGTTATTCTTGATGCCATGTCTGGACAAATGCCAGCCCAAAGCTTTCTAGTCAACAAGGAGAGTTTGAGAAAATAATATAAATGTGAAAACTTTCTATTTCATCATCTGATAGGATCAAAAAAACATCAGCTTCAAAGCCTGCAAAATGAGTGCTGAGGCTTGGAAGAAAACCCCAGGGAGCTGTTTGTTCCCTCTTCCTCTCTCTTCTCTCCCTCTCCTCAGAGAGAACAATGTATGGGAAAATAAAGACAACAATTCAAGGAGGTGTTTTAAAAGACTCACACTATGGGGCAGCACCTGTGGCTCAAAAGGGTAGGGCACCAGCCCCATATGCCAGAGGTGGTGGGTTCAAACCCAGCCCC